GCATTTCGTTCTGCAAGGGATCTTCCAAACACAGGGATTGAACACATGTCTCCTCCATTACAGGTAGGTTCTTTACCATCTGAGCCACCAGGGAAGCCCCATATTGACCCCCTACCACACTATAAATTTCTTGAGCACAGGAATTATATCTTCTTCATTTTGGCATGTTTCATAGTACCTCTCAATGCTTGAATAAAAGAATGATAAAGACTGCTAACTTCTTTTTAAGAACTACTGATGACTCAGTTTCGGGCATGAATTCTGTGCTAAGAAGGTACAGATGCCAGGCAACCCTGATGGCATGACTTCTCCTTTATCCCTCACTTTCCACATCCAATCCATCAATGAATATTGTCAACTCTACCTCCAAGATATCTGTAATCAAACCTCTCTTCTCTACCCCTACAACTTCCTCCCCAGAACAAATCACTATTATCTCTTACCTATAAAAGCCTTTTTAAACTGGTTCCCTCGCTTCTACTCCTGCCCTGCCTAAATCTATCAGCCTAGTGAGATCTTTATAAAACTTAGATCATTGCCACCTACTTAACAATCTCCAGTAGCTTATTTCCCACTACACTGGAAATAAAACACAAACTTCCTACCTTGACCTTGAAAACTCTGTGATCTGGCCTTTGCACTTCCCCAGCCTCATGTCCCTGTACTATCTACCTTGCTCACCGTGTTCCAGCTCTGCTGAGCACTGATCCTCATTGTCATGTTTGCTCAAAGCAGAATGAGTAGGTTCTCTTGGTTCTATTGAGGTTCTCACTGTTACTGGACATTGTCTTTGGGCTTCATACATTTAGTAGTGGAGATGATTTAGGGAGTGGCCAGAAGCAATTCTAAAGGTTTTGAGACTTGACTTTGGGCAAAATCTTTGTGGAGTTCATCATTTTCCTGAAAATTGATACTCCAGTACTGAGTTTGAGCTGAAGGAGATATTTGGCTTAAAAGGAAAAGAAAGGAAGTCTTGTATTATTCCTGCATTCATTCCCAAGGAACGCTATGGTATTACTGATAGAAACTAAGGCTGGAGGACAAACACGCTCCACCTTCTTTATCACTCTGGGTGTTGGTTTAGGAAATTGGGCATCATAGCAGAAGCTGACTCAACAGATGGTATTCTGTGAACCTATTGTCATTTTCCCTGTGTGCTCATATGAAGTCACCCTCAGCCCTCTGGTGTTACACCCTTAGCTTTTATATATACAGGGAAGAGAGAAAAACTCTCTTTCATTATTCAGATTCTTGACTTGCTCCCCTTGCTCCTAGAAGCTGCGAAATATGCACTATCCACCTCCTTGCCTTTGGGATCATTGACAAGAAACAGTCTATGATGGGTATGTTTTATCTGCCTCTACATAGATATGTAAACTAGAATATGCTTCACAGCCAAGTCTGAAAGAGAATTCTAAGTATTGTGTTTCTAAACTACTAAGCATTTTTCTAGCCCCTAATATTTGCAGAGCTCTCCCACTTCTTTCATATGGTTGCCTCCCTCCAACCTCCTTTAGAAAAATAGGTGTCCCCGTGTTTTAAAGATTCTAATGTGAAAAAAATGGAGAAATGAAAGCAGAAAGTCAAGTGTAAAAGCCCTAACCAAATGAGGGTATTGCTCTTTACTTTCATACTTGGAAAGTCAAAAGACACCCCTTGACACACATCACAGCATTTGAGGGAGTCTTACTCCCAACCCAGTATTCCTTTCCTTTCTTATTCACTACTCTGGGTTTCTTTTTAGCCTTGAATGGATCCTTAGGTAGAGGGTGGAGAGGCAGGGGATTCAGCAGATCCTTATGAAAGAACTTGACCTGACTATTCCAAGAGGGGAGAGGAGGTAGAAGAAGTGGGGAAGGTGGAACGGCAGAACCGGGTACCAAAAGTCCCCTCTACATAAAGTACCTATATCTCAGATGACCAAAATTATAGCTCCCCAACTGAAAAGAAAGGTCTTATCTTAAAGTTCTCTTTAAAATCATACATATGTATATACACACACATATACATAGATATACACATACTTACCCGTACATGCACATGCATACTTACCCATACATACACTTTCACACATTTACATACATATACATGTTCCTCCTTGGTTGGATCTGTATAAGGAAGGTCTCCAGATCAACAGAGTCCTCCAGCTAACAGTGTGAGGGTGTGAGGAGGCCTTCAGAGGTCTGTATCCCTTCATGGTGATCAAGCGGCTTTTGCCTCCTTCTGTCAGATAAACAAGCCATGCATTGTTTTGTTCACTAGCTGTGGACAAAACAGGCTTCCCTTCCTGCTGAGCGGGCCAGATGAGTTTGAATTCCTTCATGTGGGGCAGGTAGAATGTGCTGGTAGGGGCAGAAGAGGCTGGAAGAGCCATAGAAAGTAAACAGAGCTAATCAAGGACACCATTTTGTGCTTCTCATTATCTAAACACTTTTAAAAGAGGAAAGAACCTGCAGTAGGTTACGACCCAGACCTTAGGCTATGCATAACCCCAAGCAGTAGGGGCTGTATTTTCCTTCTTGCCCTGGGTTGGATCAGAGCCAGGGTTCTCTTTTTGCTTACCCCATGCCTTCCTCCCTCCAAGTAGTTCTTGAGGGGTCTGCTGAGAGCTAGGCTCAGAGACCAGTAGTTCTCTTGGAAGATATTGGGGTGACAGCCCTCTAGAGCAGCTAGAGAGTGACTCCTCCTAAAATTGGTCCACTTCCCTCCCCTCACCTCTCACAACAGCCTTTACAAGGGAGCCTTTCTGACAGGTCTGTCATTTCCACCTGCATGTGCCCACCCTCCTTGCTCCAGGCCAGGTTCTTATCCTCTGAGTGCTTGAAAAAGACCCAGTCACCTTTACGTTCCCCTGAACAGAGGAGGTGATGCTTGCTCATGTTGTCTGGAACTTAGCTCTGCTAAGTGAGAAGTTACCCACTTTATCCCAACCTCACCTCCCAGTCTCTCCTTTCTAAATCCCAAACTGGCCAAACTGCTCAAATTCCTCTCTTATCATCCTCTCCCCAAGGATTTCTTGAGTATATACTGCCCATGTCCATCTGTCCATCATATCACCTCTTCTGGTGACTACCCAACTCATACTCCCATCCTGCCTCCCTACCTAAGGCAATCCCCAAAACATGCTTGCATCTCTAGTCAAAACTTCCTCAACCCATCTGACCACTGACAGGGCCAGGCTGCTATCACATTTGTTATTCTTTATTTTGTTGGGAAATAGGGCTCAGGGAAGCATTTTTATGGACTGGGTTACAGAGTGGAAGGAGAAAGGCACTTGGTGACCAGATTTGGGAAGGCTAGGTACCCAGACCTGAGTAATGGGATTAGAAGCGACTGTTTATTCTGATGCTGTTTCAGAGCAGGGGTTATTCCCTAGTGTAATGCTATTGCCAAAGGTACTGTATTCCCTAGTGTATTGTCAGAATGTGGTTATTACACCAGCAGCATCACCATCACTCTAGAGCTTTGTAGAAAGTCAGAATCTGGAGCCTATTCTCGATCTACTGAATCAAAATCTGATTCAAGATGGCCAGGCGATTAGTCTGGCCACTGAAGTTTGAGAAGTGCTACTCTAGAGAGTTAGGCTTGATTTTTGAACCCTCTCTTAATTAGTCCTCTTGCTTTCCTCTTCATGTGGCTTGAAGAAATTCTTTTTCTTGCCACTAAAAGTACCTTATCCATTATTATTTGGGGTCAAGGATGATATTAATAATGGATATCATTTACTGAATGCCTTTTGTGTGCCAAGCATGCATTGCAGATGAGGAAATTGAGTCTCTGTGACATGCCCAAAGCCAAACAATTAGTGTGTGGGAAAGCTGAATCTCCACCCCAGATCTGAAGGCATACTAAATCCCCAAACTCCCCCCTTACAGGACTTCTGATTACCAGAGGAGGGTCTGTGGGCTTACTTGGATGGCACCTGCCTTTTATAGGCACATGTAAACAAAAGTCCTTTCAAACTTCCCCAGGAGGTCCAGAGGGCATAGCGGGGAAGGGGTCACCTGGCATGGTTTCCCCAGAGAGGAAGGGCCCTGGGATATTTCTTGGTCTGAGGAAGCCCACATAAGCTCTCTCAGGGGCCAGAAGTGGCTGAAATTGGGACCAGAGGCCAAAGGAAACTGGCCTGGAGATCCTGGAGTATTATGAAGGGAAAAATCCCAACTCTGAATCCCCAAAAGTAATTAAATTCTGATGCTTGAGCTTGGGCTTAGGGTATGTAATAAACTTCTATGGGGCTGCTCTGGGTCCTGGCTGTTGCATAGGTCAGTGAGGATATCATGTGGACCCCCAGCCTGGGGCTGAGGACTGTTACCTCAGAGTGTGCCATATAGATGGAGAGGTTGTTTGTGACAATGGGCTTTAATGTTTTATTTTGCAGAGAGGAAACAGAAGCCCAGACAGGGGGAGTAAATTGCCAGAGGTCAGAGTAAAGTCATGGCAGAGGCAGGGATGCTGACTCCAAGCAGCACTGTTTTGGAGTTGGAGTCTCTGGTATGAAATGCAGTTTCCTCTGGGTCTGCTCAGATGCCCATAGGATGGGCAGACTCTGAAAATACAGTCCAGAATGGTTTGTGAATCTTTCTGTCTCAACAGGATATTCATCCTGGGAGATCTGTAGGTTCCTTGCCCCCAGCTATGTAAAACCAGCTGTAGTGCTACTTGCTTTGCTGGACCTGGAGGCTGCTTGGCCTGGCTGATCTGGGTTTTCCTTTTCTGGGGCTCAGAGGACCTGCGGAGATGGCTGGGTGGAGTCAACCCAGTCCAGGAAGCACAGGAATTCTTTTAAGTGTATGTGTCTGGGGTATTTTTCTCTCTCACTTGCATGTATTTAAAAAATTTTTTTTAGACACCCACTTTATCTTTCCCAAACATCATTTCCTTGCTCCTTTCCTGAGTTCTAGCAGTGGCTGGGGGCCCAGCTTCCTTATTGGCCTCTGAGCTATGTAAGGGGGTGGGCCAGAGCTCAGAGGAGGCTGGAGTAGGGAACAGGAGGGCTGTTTGTGCTGCTGGAACTGCCTTTCATCCTTCCCTTTGCCACCAGGGTGCTGGCTACTTTCTGGAGCAGCGTCTTCACTCCTATCCAGCTCTTGACACTGGCCCTCATTCCCTAAGGTGGTGGCCTCCTCTAGGCCCAACCAGGCTGATGGCCATACCTTGCCTTCGGTGCTATTGCTTTCTGTTCTTGGAATTGGGACCTGACTGTGCCTGAGCCCCTTGGGCTGATGGCCCCTTCTCTCACAAGGTTTTAAAGGAAGGCAAATGAGTCTCAGCTAAGGGAGGATCCAGCCTGCAGAAAGAAACCCCAGGGGCTGGCTGGAGGGGTTGTTGAGGACCGTCTGAGCTGGCTGGATACCTAGCCCTCTCCTAAATTATCTCCCCATCCTGGGCAACTTCCATGGTAGGTACTACTGGTAGCCATGACCATCATGGCTGCTACCCTTCTTCCCCCTTCTGCTTTCTTTCTTCAATATCCCTTTCTTTTTGCTTCCTAAGAAAGGAATTTTGGGGTAATGAATGATGTGTGTGTGTGTGCTCAGTTGTGTCCTACTCTGCAATCCCATGGACTGTAGCCTGCCAGGCTCCCCTGTCTGTAGAATTTTCCAGGCAAGAATACCAAAGGAGGTTGCCATTTCCTACTCCAGAGGATCTTCCTGACCCAGGGATCGAACCCACATCTCCTGCATCTCCTATACTGGCAGGCAGATTCTTTACCACTGTACCACCTGGGAAGCCCCAATGAATGATAGTGTGTTTAATAGTGCCTTAGGAGAAAGGGTAGGAGACTGTTGCCTCTATAGCTAGATTGGTAGTTGGCATTTTCTTTTACCTCTTCACTTATTTCTTCTCATCCTCCTTCCCCACTGCCTAAGGAGGGAATGGTTTAAACTTTAGGACTACCGAGACTGTCTTTTTCTGACTGCTTCTTGAGGGAATGCCTAGGAGAAGGCTCAGGTATATAAGCTCTTTGAGATAGATCCCTCTTTGGGGAGGTGGGGGCATGTGGTATCCTAACAAGGGTTGGAGGACCAGAGCCTCATTCTCAACTACTGGTTACTAGCTGTGTGTTCTTGGCAAAGCAGTTCAGCTCTCTGTGTCTCTGTTTCCGCATCCCATAAAAGGGGGCATAATAATGGTGCTTACTGATAAGGCTGGAGTGAGGATTGAATCAGCTAATGCATGCAAAGTGCTCAGTGCCAGGTACATCTTAAGTGTCCAGTAAATGGTCCCTGTTATTTTTTTAAGTTAATAGTATATTAGGCACTATGCTGAATGAGTTCACACGTGGGAATGCATTTAATCCAGACTAAATCATGAGTAAGATTTGTTGATTGTCTCCATTTTACCGGTAAAGAATTACAACTCAGAGAATGACTGTGCCCCCAGTGACACAGCTAGGTTTAGAATATGAGTGTGGACTCACTCCAAATCTAGGGCTCTTTAGGAATAATAGTAGACCAAGTATTAGACCCGATAGATGGTTTCCTCTCCTTTCCCAATCTAGGATTAGAAGGCTCCTGTTCTGACTGCAGTTCCTGCACTGGGGTTTTCCTCCCTGTAGCTTGTACTTTTCTCTCAGTGTTCACAAAGCCTCCACTTTCTTGCTTCTATCTCCTTTAAGGTTGTTTCCCACTCCTGGAGAAACCCTGGAGAGAGTAGGAGGCTTTGTAAGCTACCTTTCAAAGTTTGGCAAGGGTGATGCTAGTGGAACCCTGACAGTGGATGGGCAAATCTGGGTGGAAGGACTCTTGAACTATCAAGAAGGCTAAGTCTGAGCCGACAACTCTTATTACAGTACCCTCTCCTTATTGACCATATGCTATACATCAGTATGTGTCTCAGAAGCTTTGAGAATGTTCTGCCTCATCCCCATAGTAACATAACCAGGATATAACCAAGGATTATTGTTCTTTTTTTTCCTGATAATAAAACTGAAGCTCAGATGGGTTAAGTGACTTATACAGAATCACACATCCAAGGTGGTAATGTTAGGCTATGAACTTAGTAGATCTGACTCATTTGTCTTTGTCTTATCACCTTTGGGCTTGATATAGTTCATAGTCTGAGACTTATGTACATGAAATGATGATCAATATCAAACATTATTTTTGATGGGCTAAATTGTGGGGACTAGATTACTAAGGACAAGCTCCATGGAATAGACATTACTTGATCAGTATCTTGAAGAACAGGTGGGACTTAGACTACCAAAATGGGAGGGGGCATTCCAGGCAAAGGGAACACAGTCGTAACTGAAACTCTGTTCTAGGCAGTTGACAAGCATTATATCATTTGAACATTACAACCCTATTAATTAGGTACTAGCATCACCATCTTACTGTCATAGCAGCTAGACTTCTGAGAAGTAAAGGCACCTGTCTAAACAACAGAGCTTGTAAGTGGTGGAGCTGGGATTTTAACCAATGTCCAATTCCAGGGCCCGTGTTAGATTCTGATAGAAAACCAAAAGCAAAGGCACAAAGCTGGTTGCAGAGTGTGATTGGAACAGAGACATGAGAGGTTAGGTTGGGTGGGTAAAGATAACTTAGAAAGGGCTTTGAAAGTCAGGTCCAACCAGTGAAGATTCTTGAATAGGAGAGTACCACAATCCAATTGGTATTTGACATATGATCTAAAAGCAGTGACTGGAGGTAAAACCAGGTGAGACTGGCTGCCAGACTAACACAGTATTTTGGTCACAAAATGTTAAAGGCCTGGACTAGAACAGGAGCTGTGGGTGGCAGGTTCTGTGGAGGAGAAGTATGGTTATGTGGAATAGTCTCAGTGAAAATAGTATGGGTGTGGGGAGAGAGAGAAAGAGGCCAAGCCAAAAAGATATGATAAAAGAAGATTCAGTAGAACTCTGTAAGGGATTGGATGGTTGTAAAAAAGGTGGTCTCAAGGCTGACTGCCCACATTTTAAACCCTGGACTCAGAACTTCAAAAATGCTGGATATGGAAGAAGAGCCCCAAATGAGAGAGGTACCCAGTTCTCCACTGTATCCTCAGTGCCTGGAACTGTGGTACATAGTTAGATACACATGGTATGTAGTATCTACTAGTACATAGTACTTCTATGAGATGCTTTATAAATAGTTGTTAATGGATGACTCCTGGGTAACAGCCACTGGAGAGATTTCTAGCAACATGGTTTTGTGTGTGAAAGTCTGGAGCGGCACATTCCCCCAAGGTCTTCTAGTGCCTTCAGTCTCCCTGCTGGCACTCTGAAATCCATAATAGAACAGTGGTTAAATATGTGGCCCTCACTTCCTCTCCTTCCCATAAATTTTCACTGCTGCTGCTGATCTGTGGCTCTGGTTCCTGACCTTTGGCAGGCATCTTCCAGTTCCCTTCCTTTTATATCTCCTTCTCTGTGTCTGGCCTGTTACTACATGTTTTCCCCAGCAAGGCCATTTTCCTCAGGACTACTTTCTCAGGCCTTAGCCCTCTGGAGCTTGGCCCTGCTGGGATTTTCTGTATTTCTGCCAGGATAAGGGGCATTCCCCATGAATATGGATTCAGCTCTAGTCTCTCTACTGCTGCTTCTGGGAGGTAGAGAGCTGATTTATCCCACTCTATAACAAGCATGTTGAAAACCAGGGGCCTTATCTTAGTCAACTCTGCTTCCTCACTGTCTAGTATGGAACCTGCCACAGTAACTGAATGAAAAAATTAGTAAATAAACTATCATCTGTTTATCTCTCTGTCATCTCCTTTATTTATCATCTGTTTCTCTTACTCTGTCATCTTGTTCTCTGTCATCCATTTCTCCCTATATAGTTCCCTGTACTCTTTCTCAGCCTTCTCCATTTCTGTCATTTGTTTATATCTGTACCATCTCTTCCCTCTTACCTCTGTCATCTACCTGGCCCATCTGATATCTATCTTTCTCTCCTTGTTTCTTCTCCTCTCCTCATCTCTCCTCCTCTGTCCTCTCCCTCTTCTCCCTTCCCTTCCCCTCTCCCTCTTCTCCCTTCCCTTCCCCTCTCCTTCCATCCCTCTCTCTCTCTCTTCTTCCCCCCCTCTTATTCTTCTCCTCCCCACTTTCTCTCCTTCTCTCATATCAATCACCTCTTTATCCTCTGGCACTACCTGTGCCCCATACATGCTCTTTCCCACTTCCAAGGGTGGCTTCTGTTCATGTGAAATATACCAGAGCACAGGGATGGGTCCTGCAGAAGCCTGTCAGTGCAAGAGTTGTGGCTGCAGCCTCCCGCAGCAGACAGGTACTGTGGTTGCATCCAGAGTCTTGGCCTCAGACCTGTTTCTCTTTATTCACCCCTGCCCTTGAATAGCCAGTCTTCCCTGTTAGCCTAGTACCATGCCATCTATCACGTTATTCTATTCTCCCTGGCTGAAATGGGGGTTCCTTGCCAAACCTCTACCTACAAACTTAGCAGCCTCACCTCTGTGGCCATCTTGTCCTTCCCTCTCTCAATGCCTTTACCAGTAAGTTCTCAGGAATAAAGCGTATGTTTGATTGATCTCTGTATCCCAAGAGGTATGCACAGATGGTACACAGTACACAGACAACAAATGCTTATCAAATTGAATGAGCCCAAAACTGGAGAATTGACAGTCAGTTGGTGTTGACTTGTTCAAGCTTCTCAATGATTTACCTATTTCTTTCTTAGAGAAAAATGGGAAGATTGGCTACATTTATTTTTTCTCAGAGAAAATTTAGAGTGGGCACACTGTTCATTGAGCAACAGTACTCACATATTCCACAAATAATTATTGAGCATCTACTATGTGTCTGGCATTGCTGTACATGCTTGGGATATACCCATGACCAAAAGAGCCCTATGACTCTAAAATTCTGTATGTCCATGGATTGTCTTTGGGGTGAAGGAGATTTGAGTTCTGGGAGCTGAGTGGGTAGCTGCTAAGATTCCTACACCAGTTCCTTGCAAGATGTGCTACTTCATTTAAGGGAAAGAGGGGGTGGGGGCGGAAGCTGCCTGGGAAGTGATTTCAGCTCTGGTTCCCTAAGTTGACTTCCTGTCCCTTTTTTGCTGTAGGAGAAACGCCCCTGTCAGTAGGCCGCACTCATGGCATGTGGCCAAGCTGCTGGAGGGATGCCCTGAAGCGGCTACCACCATGCATTTCCCTTCTGAAGCCTTCAGCTTGTCCTGGCATTCCGGCTGCAACACGAGGTGAGTCTGGAACCTTCCCTTCAAGACAGGCTGGAGGCTAGACCACCCAGCTACTCAGGAGTGCTCTAGTCCCCGTTGGAGGCTATAGAGCCCAGAGTGCTATCCTGGAAAATGAAGGGGGGTGGGGCAGTCCAGAGGGCCTGGCTTCCGATCATCATCTATTGCTAACTCTGTGACTTTGGGACAGTCCCTTTCCTTTTAGAAAATGTTTCCTTGAAATATTTCACATGGTTTGCAAGACACTTCTCTTTCCTGTTCTTCACTTTATTTCCTTTGCAATCTCTTTCCCTGGCTCCCTATCATCCTAGTCTCTGTTGCCGGTGACCCCGGGACTGGGTTCTGGTCCTCTTCTCTAGCTCTAGCGACTCACAGTGACCACATCTAGTGTTTTTCATCCAACTCTGTCACACAACCAAAGCCTTCAGAATGGGGACCTCCCTGAATAACAGGGTCCACCTGCAAAGAGGATCTCTCAATTTAGGGAGCTACCCAGCAAATGCAGAGAACTTTTAAAGCAAGCCCAGAGCCAGCAAAGCTGCTAGCTTAAGCTGCCTTTTCCCTTCCACAGCAAGATCTTCCCTCTGAGAAGGAATTTCTGTTGATGAGGCTCAGGGAAGCTAAGGGTTGAGTTTGCCCGGACTCTGTATCTTTATTTGATATTGGAAGCCAGGGGCTCAGGGCAGAGGCAGGGGCAGTTTTGTTCTGAAAGGATACACAGAAACACATTCTGAGCTTGGCTTCTGTTTAAGTGGGGGTGTGGCTGTTTTCAGCAGGAAGGGTGGTGGGGGTGGATAGCAAATCTCCCTGCCAACAAGGAATTGATGGATTCTTAGCCCAGAGGTCAAGTAAGCAGAGTGGCTAAGGGGCAAGGCGGTGAGCAGGAATTAGGAGAGGCTGAACTAGAGGATCTTGTGGGTGCCTGCCACTGCTCAGCTCTGGCGTTCAGAACTGTGGCCTTTCTGAGCCGCCTGCAACCTCTGGGGTTCTAGTGACAGGGAGTTACTGGCATGACTTGGCTCAGTTTGGCTTTGTGTGTGGAAAATGGTACTTAAAATTCAAGATTGTGTTTGATCCTAGTTCCATCATTGGTCTCCCCAGTTTGGCTTTTCTAGGGGGGATAAGGGCAGCCTGGGTGGGCAGGGGCCACTATAATGTCAGTAGTCATAGTAGAGGGGATGCTGATAACAATAATCATGAAAACAACAATCAAGAGAGGTGCTACTCTCAACCAGGTATTGAACCCTCACTAGGCACCTAGAGCTTCACTTTTATTATCTGATTTCACCCGCAAAGCAACCCTCTGATACAGATTCCACTATCATTTCCATTTAACAGACAGTGTAGCGGAAGAGCCAGGACGTTAGACTCACAGAGACCCAGGTTCAAATTCCATCTCTGCTTCTTTAGCAGCTATATGAGCTTGTCATTTTACTTCCCTTCTCTAAGCTTCGGTTTTCTCATTTGTCAAGTGGAGATAATAATCTCTCCCCTTCAGTTTGAAATGAGACATTAGAAAGTGTCTGGCACATCATAGGCCCTCAGTAAACAGTGAGGATTACTATTATCAAGAGAAGAACAGGGGAATGCTAAAACTGTGGCCCTGTCTGGGCCGTGAACTAGAGCTGGGTAATCTTGAGAAAATTACCCCCTCACAATCACTTCCCTTTGTAGGGCTTGCTTGACACCAGTGGTTCTCAAAAGTGTGGTCCCTGAACCAACAGCAGTAGCATCACCCAGAAAACTGTCAGAAGTAAAAATTCTCAGGATCCACCTAGACCTAAAACTCTGGGCATGAGGCCTAGTCAGTTGTGTTTCATTGAACCTTCTGGATGATTCTGATGCATGCTCAAATTTGAGAACCACTGATTTACAAAATAGGCTGACTGAAATTAAATCAGCCCTTTAGGGCCCCTCTCAAATGCTAATAGTCTGTGCTTGTTTCTCCAAGCAGAGAGCAGATAGCTGGCTCCCAGGGGACAGCAACAGGCCAGAAGCAATTCTAGACTCACTTAAGGCAGAGAAACAGAGGACTACCCCTAGTGGAGTTCTCGCACTGTTAGTCTTTGGATCTTGCCCTATTCTTCTTCCACATATTGTCTTGTCTCCCATTTTACCACATTTCTGTGGCATCCCCAGCGTCCTTCTCTTTCTGTTTCCCTTCCTTCCTCTTTTGCCTTATCTCCCTCTCTCTTGTGGCATGGCGCCTCTGGGTTGTCTTGCCTTCTCCCGTGGCAGGGATGGCCAAGGTGGGAAAGTAATCTGGTGACGTGGCTAACTAACCCATGTGTCCTGTGTCTTGCAGTGACGTGTGTGTGCAGTGGTGTCCACTCTCCCGGCACTGCAGCACTGAGAAAAGCAGCTCCATTGGCAGTATGGAGAGCCTGGAGCAACCAGGCCAAGCCACCTATGAGGGCCATCTCTTGCCCATTGACCAGAGCACATACCCCAACCAGCGTGACTCAGCCTATAGCTCCTTCTCAGCCAGCTCGAATGCCTCTGACTGTGCCCTTTCCCTCAGGCCAGAAGAGCCAGCCTCTGTGGACTGTATCATGCAAGGCCCAGGGCCAACTAAAGCCCCTAATGGTCGCCCTAATGTGGTCGAGACCTCAGGAGGTGGCTGGCGCACCAGTGGGGGTCACCTGACTCCTAGCTCCCAGATGTCATCTTGTCCTCAAGAGGTCTCCCACTCAGAGCCTGCCAAGGCTGTCAGGGGTCCCCCTCAACCTCCAGTGAGGCGAGACAGTCTTCAGGCCTCCAGAGCCCAACTCTTCAATGGAGAGCAGTGCAGGGCTTCTGAGCTTATAGATTCCTTGCAACAGAAGGAGAAACCTAGCTTGGACACCGTGCTATCCCCAAGGAACCCTAATAGGTTCTGCTGCCTCAGCGGGCAAGACCAAGTGACAAATGAGAGCCATCAGAACTGTGAGCTCAGCCAACCTCCTGAATCTAGCCAGAAGGGCTCTGAGCATCTACTGATGGAGGCCTCAGCCAAAGCTGTTGGAGTCCCAAAAGCATATGACAAAACTTCCAGCATAGGTTCCAGCCCACTCAACCAGGCTTCAGCAGAGCTAGCTAAGACTTCTTCTTTTGGCAGCTCTCCACACCTCACAGGACCCACAGGGCATCGCCATAGTGCCCCTGAACAGCTGCTGGTGTCCCACTTGCAGCGTGTGCACCTCGATACTAGGGACAGCAAAGGGACAGAGCTCCAAGCTGGGCAGGATGGGCAGGAGTGGACTCTATCACCTTTGCACATGCACAGTAGCCACACAAGCAAGAAAAGCCCATGTGCCCCTGCAGGAGGAACCCAGGACCAGCTGAGCAAAGAGAGAAAGACCAAGCCAGTGGATGATAGACCTCTGGGTTCAGGTCATCAGAGTCCAAGCAGTTCTCCACATGGAGAGGCTGATGGACACCATCCAGAAAGAGGTTTCCAGGATCCAAACAGAGCAAGCAGAGCTGACAGTGAGCTGGTCAGCCAGCAGTCCTCTGGCTCCCTTGCTCAACAAACCAGGGACTGTTCTTCAACCCCTAAAGTAGCTGGCAGCACAGAGGCAACTGAAGAAGGGGACAGTGAGCCCAAGGAGTGTGGCCGGGTGGGCAGTAGGCGAAATGGAGGGTACCGGGGCCGCTCGATCCAAAACCGGCGGAAGAGTGAACGTTTTGCTACCAATCTACGTAATGAAATTCAGAGGAGGAAAGCCCAGCTCCAGAAAGGCAAGAGTCCCTTGTCACAGCTGTGTTACACCAAGGAGCCAGTGGAAGAGACTGAGGAGACCCTAGAAAGTCCTCCACTTCCTTCTTCTAACTCAGCTCTTCTATCTTCATATAAAAAACCACCAAGCCCCAGAGACAAGCTCTTCAACAAGAGCATGATACTCAGAGCTAGGTCTTCAGAGTGCCTCAGTCAAGCCCCTGAGGGTCAAGAATCTAGGATTGGCTTGGAGGGACAAGTGAGTCCTGGCCAGAGATCTGGCCAGTCCTCTTTGAACCCGAACACCTGGTGGAAAGCATCTGACCCATCCTCGTCAGACTCTGAAAAAACAAACGTTCACCATGGAGTCTGTGGAGGTCACTGGAGGTGGTCACCAGAGCACAACCTGCAGCCACATGTGGCACTAGCCATGGAAGGCCCTTCCAACTCAGGTGACAAGGAATTGAAAGTGCCTACTGTCCAAGCTGGGGAGGAAGCCATCCTCTTGCCCTTTGCAGACAGACGAAAGTTCTTTGAAGAGAGTAGCAAATCCTTATCTACATCTCATTTGCCAGGTTTAACCACTCATAACAAGACTTTTACCCAGAGACCAAAACCTATTGACCAAAATTTTCGGCCAATGAGTTCCAGCTATAGAGAATTGAGGCACCATCCCATGGACCAATCATATCACTCCACAGACCAACCCTATCATGCCACAGACCAATCATATCATTCCATATCACCCCTTCAGTCAGAAACTCCCACTTACACAGAATGTTTTGCAAGCAAAGGTCTAGAACAATCCATGTGCTGTAAGCCACTACACTGTGGTGATTTTGATTACCACAGGACGTGCTCTTACTCCTGTAATGTCCAGGGAGCTGTAGTCCATGACCCTTGCATTTATTGTTCTGGGGAAATCTGTCCTGCTTTGCGAAAGAGAAATATGATTCCAAACTGCTACAATTGCCGGTGCCACCATCACCAGTGCATCCGGTGTTCAGCTTGCTGTCATAATCCCCAGCATGGTACCCTCGAGGACAGCAGCTTGAAACCTGGCAACACTTGGAAACCCAGGAAGCCGACAGTGCAGGTAAGGACTTGGTTCTTGGATGGATGATCTTCATTATTCTCTTTGCAAGGAGAAAGCTAGGTAAATAATTTGAAATATAACAATTATAATGCCTTAAAATTATATAGTGCCGGGTCCACCAGCTGGTATCTTACTAACTTTGGACAAGAAATCATCATTTTTAGAGGTAGAATAAAATAACTTAGCTTCACAAAACCAACAGAAGTGGGCTTTATATCCTGACTGTATAATTGGTATCAGAGTGACCTTTTGCAAGTCATCCAACCACCAAGAGTTGCAGTTATGTGATTTTTAAAGGGAAAAAGAAAAGAATTTTTACCTCATCAAATGGCCAGTGCTAAATAAAGTCTTATTACCTCATCTTTAAGTTGGAGGAAAATAATGGCTGCCTTATTAATTAGTTGGGTGGATCAAATGAGTTTGTGTAATATAGAGTGCTAGGCCCAGTACCTGATACAAAACAGCATGTACAGTAAGTCCCTTACATACAAATGAATTCCATTCTGAGAGTGTGTTTGTAAGTCCAACCAAGTTAGCCTAGGTACTTAACTAACACAATCAGCTATATAGTATTGCACTGTAATAGGTTTATAATACTTTTCACACAAATAAAACATAAAAAACAAATGCAAAAACATAAACATTTTTAACCTTACAGCTCAGTACCTTGAAAAGTACAGGAGTACAGTACAACAGCTGGCATACAGGGGCTGGCATCGGGTGAACAGGCAAGAGTTACTGACTGGAGGTGGCTGAGGAGGTGGGAGATGGTAGAACTGAAGGATCATCAGCAATAGGAGATGGAGGGCAAGGTATAATTTCACTCATGCCTGACGTTGATGGCACAGGTTCTGGTTCCTTGCTGGATTCAATTCTATCTACCATCTTGAAAAAAACAGTCCAGTGATGTCTAGGTAGTAGCTCTTTTACTTTCATCATAGATGACCTGGTAGCCCTAGATTGCATTCTGAATGCCTGCTGCAACCTTTGTTGCATTGTACATTCTACATTCGGGTCCTGTGCTTCAAAAACTAACAATGCCTCCTCAGATAAAGAAAATCCCTCTGGCGTTTCCTACATCGTGTATCTCTTCAGTTATTCTTCCTCTTGTCATTCTGCTCTCTCAGTTATTTTCACTTTTGTTCCCATCGTTACTGCTTGATGCTTCTTAGCAGTACTGCTTTTATGCTTGCTTCTGGAAATCCTGGGCTTGAAATAAAGATACTGTACTACTGTACTCTATACAGTACTGTACGGTAAAGTACAGAAAAGGACAACCACTTGTAGAGGATGCATGCACATGACAATGTACACTAGACATGTGAACTAACTTACATGGTTGGACATGCAAACACAGTATTTGCATCTTTGAAACTTGAATGTCCGTATGTAGGGGACTTAACTGTATTGCCTTTCATTTCCTGCTTTAAAACTATTTGGAGCTGCAAAATTTGCGAATGTCTCCCAGGTTTTACTTCCAGAGGTCTGACTTTTCTGCTCTTCTGAAGGACAAATCTTTTCCCTTTGCTCCAGTCTGTCTGTCAGACTGGAGAAGAGACCCAGGTCTAAATTGGCTGTAACTATACCCTAGTTATGATCTACATCCCTAATACAAGCCACCACCATCCCCTATGGTATTTCTAGGAGGACTTCCCATGCCACTGCCAGCTCACTGCCAGACTCCTTCCCCATAGCTTTCCTAGTGCTACCTTTTGGCTGGTGCATTCAAACTAGAAGTTAATTCCTGTGTTGAACTGTTGATGCAGAGACTGACACTTCTGAATGACTTAGCATATGTAATTGCTCAGTACATATTCTTTGTTGAAACAAGGGAATTCCCTGGTGGTTCTGTGGTTTGAACTTTTTGCTTCCACTGCAAAGGACACAGGTTTGATCCCTGGCCGGGGTACTAAGATCTTGTATGTTGCCTATGGCACAGCCAAATAAAAAAGGAAAAAGAAAGACACTTAGGGGTAAAAGAAGCCTTACATAAAAGAGTACGTACTCTACTATTCCTTTATATAAAGTTCTAAAACAGCTAATCTATAGGAAAAAAATTTCAGAACAGTGGTTGCCTGTGGGAGGTGTCACAGAGATTAACTGGGAAAGAGCATGAGGAAACTTTGTTGGGTGATGATCTATATCTTGAAAGAGTTACACAGGTGTATGCATTTTACAAAACTCAGCAGATGTATACTTAATGTTTGTGCATTTCACTGAAGGTAAATTTTGCCTAAAATATTGTAAACAAATATCGAACTTTATTTAATGGATATGTATGCTTGAGTTTTTGAAGTGCATTGATCTACGCAGCTTATTTTCTAGTTTTTAGCATACAGATGTTGCACATATTTGTTACATTTATCTCTTAAGATTGCATGTTTTAATGCCATTGTAAATAATATTGTTTTCTTAAGATCAAATTAAATTTCTTTACTACCATATAGAAATGCTATTTAATTTTGTATATTGGCCTTGTATCCTGCAACCTTGCCAAACTCACTTTTCTTGGTAGATTTTAAAAGATTTTCTACAGAGACAATCATGTCATCTGCAAATATAAATAATTTTGTCTTCATTTCCACTGTGTATGGCTTTTCTAGGAGAAGGGGTCCTATCGCACTCCCTAAGACCTTCAATGCAGTGTTTAGTAGAAGTGGTGAGAGCAGATACTGTTGCTTTGTTCCCAATTTTTTATTATTAAGTTTGATGTTAGCTGTAGATTTTTTGGTAGGTGCCTTTTAACAGGTTGAAAACATTCCCTTTTATTCCTAGTTTATTGTGATAGCTTTTATCAAGAGTGGATGTTGGATTCGTTTTTTCAAATACTTTTTCTGTATCTATGGAGATGATCATATAGTTTTTTCTTTTTTAATCAGTTGATATAGTGAATTACAGTGATTGATTTTTTAAATATTTATTATTTATTTGGCTGCATTGGGTCTTAGTTGCAGCATGCAGGATCATCTGTTGTGGCACTTGGGCTCTTCCTTGTGGTGCTTGGGCTTCTCTCTAGTTGTGGTGTGGGCTCAGTAGCTGTGGCACATGGGCTTAGTTGCCCCAAGGCATGTGATATCTTAGTGCCCTGACCAGGAATTGAACTCCCGTCCTCTGCATTGGAAGGCAGATTCTTAACCACTGCCCCACCAGGGAAGTCCTACATTGATTGATTTTTGAAACAAGAACTAACCTAGCATTGCCAGAATAAATCCCACTTGGTTATGACATATTAGCCTTTTTATATGTTACCAGATTTGGTTTGCTAATAGTTTGTTAAGGGTTTTTTTGTTTGTTTGTTTATGTATTGATGTTTCAGGGATTTTAGTCTGTAGTTTTCTCATGATGTCCATGTCTGGTTTACATATCTAGATATTGACCTTACCAAATGAGTTGGGAAACGTTTTCTTTTCTCCTATTTTCAAGAAGAGTTTGTATAGAATTGGCTTTTTTTTTCTTATGTATTTCTTAGAATTCATCATTGAAACCATGTGTGCCTAGAGTTTTCTTTGTGGAAAGATTTTTAATGACAAAGTCAATTTATTTAATAGACACAGAGTTATTTGGGCTATCTATTTTTTCTTGAATGAGCTTTGGTAGTTTGCCTTTCAAGGAATTTGTTGATTTCATTTAAGTTTTCAAATGTATGGGGTAAAGTACTTTGAAATGCATAAAGAATTTAAGATGAATTTGTGGATGGATAAAGGAACAAATAGATATGTGATAGGTAAATATAGTAAAATACTAATTGTATAATCTATTCAATGGTGGATATATAGATATTCATTGTAAACTTGTTCAACTTTTCTATATGTTGGAAAATATTCATAATAAAATGTAGGGAGGAAAAGGAGAGGAAATATAAAATAGTGGTTTAAGGGCATGATGGTAGAACCAGACTACCTGGGTTTGAATTCTTAAGCATTCCCATCTAAAAAATGGGAATAATAACAGTACCTATTTCATACATTGGTTGAGAGGATTAAATGATGTAACATATACAAGGCACTTAGAACAGTGACTGCCAGATAGTAATTATCTTTTAAGGGTGAGTTATTATCTTTTAGAATAAAGGGAGATTTGGGCTTACCTTGAGAAACTTTTGCCAAAAGAAGGATCTGCAAGTAGACAGTGGAGAAAAAGTGTTAATATTGGGGGTAGGATAAGCAGAAGATGGTTGCAGAATTGTCAGCCAGTAACTCCATGAAGGAAAGCAGTGAAATTTGCACATTGTAGTAGCTGGAAGCAGCAATACAAGTGTGTCTGTGCCCATGCATGCCTCTTCTTTTATATTCTGAGGGAAGGACATATTGGCCTCCTAATGTCTGTTAGATTAGCTAAGTAGGTCTGCTTAGACGCTAGGCTTTTAGACATGTGGACAGCCATCCAGGAGGCACTTCATACCCATTTCTACCCCTGCCAGCTGAACTCACCTTCCCCTAAGACATGGGAAAAACTTTTAGCATGGGTTAGGATTCCCCAGCTCAGCTGGCTAGGGAGTTGTGATGGTGGTTATCTGAAGTAGGGTTGAGATCCTGCTTATTATGCCCCCTGGAAGTGGTTGGGAAGCTAACTGGCTCCTATTTGGTGCCGTTAAGAAAACTGAAATCAGCACACATCTAAATCTTTCATGCTTCATGCCAGTTAGTTCTGCATATATATAAAATTATTTAATTTAGCAATTATATGAGATATGTTATAATAGGACCCCGTTTTCCAGCTAAGAAAGCTGAGGTCACACATCCTATAAGTGGTGAAGCCAGGATTTGAACAACATAATGATTACCAACATTTGAGTGTCTGCTGTGTACCAGGTGCTGTTCTAGGTGCTTTACATGTATCAACTCACATGGTTGTCAAAGCCATCAAGAAATAGATACTATTATTATTATGATCACTATTAAATAGCTTGAGAAAATGAGCTAAGATAAACTACTGGGTGGTCTGCCTGAGGTCACACACAGTGTGGGATTTGAATCCGTGTAGTGTAGCCTCCAAGGCCAGGCTCCAAGTTGTGCTACGCTGCCTCTCCATAAGCTGATTGCAAAGCCCATGCCCTCTCCAGTCTGGCAGGATGTCTTCTAGCAGTATAACTTCACTCAGGCACCAAGTTCCTACCGTAATCAATCCTCATCCACAACAAGTCGTGGAGATAACTGCCTCTTTGATTCAAAGAGTGCATACAATTTACAGCAACCTAAGTGTCTCGGCAGGGAAAATAATGTAAGGTGATACTGGGGACTTGGGGAGATTGAGAGTTGGGACAGGACTTTGTTTGCTTTGGACACTGCTATTTACTGAGCACTCCCCATAGGGCTAGACAGGGAATGGACAGGAAATCCTGGCTCCCACTGTGTCCGAATGAGTAATACTGTCTTTGAAAGCAGGGACATCTCACAAGGGCGTCAGGCACAATCTGAAGTTGAACAAGTGGTTTTGCTGCTCTAACTTGACAGGTACAGGCAGAGAGACTTCTCTGGTTATGTGAAAGCTGTGAAACCTCATCTATTCTATGGTCACTAAGATCCCTAGCCTCCTACGTGCCAAGTGCTGTACTCGGCATTCTCTGCACACATCCCATTTTATCCTCACTCCTGGGAACCCAGCAAGGCTAGATAGCACAGTCCTTATTTGCCAGATAGGAAGTTTGAGGTCCTGGGAGGTGACATAGCTGCTCTCAAACAACAAATATCTTAACCAGAATGACTGACAACCACATCTTACCTACAAAAGGTAGTAATTTTTTTTTTTACTGAGGCAAAGGTAAGAAAACTTTGAACAGGACCAATAATAGCATTGGGGAGAGAGACTTTGGAAGATCAGTGAGGTTCAGGAAAAATTGCATTCCCAACGGACTAAGATCTGAGTCTCTAGGTAGAAGGTATGGAATGCTGAAATCAGAATGTCAAAGGCAAATTTTCATTAGGCTTGGAGCTAGGATAGAAGGCAGGGACATTTCTACAAATGGCATATGCAGCTTGGGCTGTAGGGAAACAATGCTTGGGCAAAGCCCTTATGGATAAAATGCCCAGGGTGAAAAGTCTGCTCCTATAATATGTGGAATGTGGCACCCAGCACTCATGTTCCCTAGGAATGAGCCCATCTCAGCCCCTGTCAGCAGATCTTGGAGGAGGAGGAAGGACCCCTACAGTATTGGGGTGGGCAGGCATGCATGTTCTCTAGCTGTCTCCCCCAGGACAGGATTGCTGCAGCAGAAGCTTTAGTTCTCAAAGTCATCTCAAGGGCCACAACGTCCAAGAAGATGCTTTCTATGGTGGAAGAGACTAGAGGAATGAGCAGGTCCATTAGGCAGAGCAAATAAAAAGATCTTTTCAAGGGCCAGAACAAACAGCAAACATGCTAAACTGGTTTTTTTGTTTTTACATGGTTTGGGAGGGAAGTAGAGAAAAAGGGTAACTCAGAGTTTCTAGACCACACTGCTGAGGTCCCTGAGTGCTATCTTAGACTCTGCGTGGCCCCAGCTGCGCAGAAGCCCTCCTGACAGAAAGGCAGCCCTCTAGGTACCTAGTTCTCTACCTTACATAGGAGAGTAAAAGGAATCAGCTTGGTGGGGGGGAGGCAGGGGTGGCACCTGGCCTTGGACAGGCTCCTGACCAATTCACAGTTTTGAAGCTGTCTAGATTACCTGGCTGCTCAGAGCTCCCTAACTTATCAGAATTTTGCTTTGCAGGAATTTCCTGGGGACAAATGGAAACCAATAACAGGAAACAGGAAGACCAGCCAGTCAGGGAGGTAAGTTGACCACTCAGGGAGTTGGGTAAGTTAGTACCTCTGAGGTTTCTGTGGAAATTGATAAGGTTTTCTATTTGCTCTGTTTCCTTTAAGTAACCTGGTCTGGTGTCAATACCAAGGGGTTGACGTATAGATGGAATCCAGCCTGCCCCCCAGGCAGCTGGGCTATGGACCAAACTGACTGGTAGCACATTTTGGAATAAATACATCATAGTCAGGAGTGTTGCAGGACATTAGGCTTATCAGCTCGGAGGCCTGAGGCAAGTGCCCAGGCACAAGGACATGGGGACTAGACCATGCTGAAACATAGATGGGCAGGCATAAACTATGCTTACCTTTCCAGTGGCCACTGGGTGATTGGAGGGGCCAGAGAGGAGGCAAGGCTGTCCAGCTACTGCTGTGCCTTTGCTTCAGAGTGTTTCTTGTGTTCTGCCACCTTTCTTTTTATAGGACTCATCGAGAGCTTCAGGTCTCCTCATTAAAAATCCAAGGCAGAGCCTGCTAACAATAGGTTAGAATTCCTGAAGAAGGTAGAGACATTTTTACAAATGGTATATGTACCTTGGGCTGGAGGGGAAAGAGTTGCTTGGGCAGAGCCCTGAATAATGCCTTTAATAATTTATACTAATTTAATAATTTAATAAAAGGCAGAGTCCTTAATAATGCCCAGAGTGGAGACTCTGCTTCTGTAATGTGGGGAACATGGCACCTGGCACTCATGCTCCAAAGAGATGAGCCCACCTATCATAGTGATCACGACAAGGAGACAATTACCTCCTCCAGGGTCCTCTCCATCAGCTTGGATGGAACCCCTCTTCTGTGACGTTTCTCTTCTGTCCAGTGATATACTTTTCAGCCAGTTCTTCTCCAGGACAGTATTAGGTATTCAACACAACCCCTTTCCTCAAAGAGCTCAACAGTCTAGTAAGGGTGCTCAGTCACATCTGACTCTCTGTGACCCCATGGACTGTATCCCACCAGGCGCCTCTGTCCATGGGATTCTTCAGGCAAGAATACTGGAGTGGGTTGCCATTTCCTTCTCCAAGGAATCTTCCCAACCCAAGGATCGAACCCACATCTTCGGTATCTCCTGCATTGCAGGAGTATTCTTTACCCACTGAGCCATTGGGGAAGCCAGAATTATACTGATTCTTTTACTCAAACTCCATGAATGAAGGATAGGCAGGGAAGGTGGCTTTTAGCTGTGCCTCTGTGGGGGCACCTAGGGAGAGGACTAGAATCTGGGTCTCCTGATCTCTGAAAATCACAGGGTTCTTTCCAGGGCTCCATATTATCCCCTGTGATTTGGTAGTCAGGCGGAAATAATTTTGGTTTTCTTCTGCCTCCAAAGTCTGGGAAACCTATCAGTTTTTCAGTTGGCAATGGAAAGAGAGGAAGCCAACATTTATTGATCATCTACTAAGTGTCATTCATTGGGTTGGATCTCCTTATACCCATAATCTAAATTTCCACAACAGTTAATTGTACTACTTATTTTATAGATGAGGTCTAAAGAGGTTATATAACTTAGCTGAGGTCACACAGCTAGTTAAGTGATGGAGCCAGGATTCAGACCCAGGTTGGTCTGGTCGCAAAGTTCATGCTTTTTCCATTATAACTGCTTCAATCAGGATCCCAGAGGAAACCCTTCAAATGGACCCCTCATCATAATTTCTCAGGAATCTAAGGCCTGTGTGGGAATACTATGGGATTCTATGGCTGGTCTTGATTCCCCGTTATAGTCTGACTTGTACCATGTTCTTGGAGAACTTTCACCATATTCTGGTGGACCCACTGAGTTTCCCATATTAGACTGAGACTGTCGAGAAAGGAGGCCACACCTTGGTCATGGATGCCTCCATGCCTAGCACAGTGCCTGACACAGAGAAGCTGCTTGAGATGTTTTTGTCATTTGCTCACCAAATGAAGAAACAGAGCCTCTTCCACCATTGAATGGGTGAAATGACACAAAAATCATAATGCTAACTTAACATTTCTTGAGCATAGTGCTCGATTCTAGTCAGCATTCAAAGCACTTTGGGAATACTAAATATCACCATAACCTTAAGGGGTATATACTATTAATTGGAGAGCCAGTTGACAGAAGAAACTGAAGCACACACAGATAAATTCATTTACCTAATGTCCCACAGTTAGACCTCGGTTGTTGTTTTTCAGTTGCTAAGTCATGTCTGACTCTTTGTGACCCCATGGACTGCAGCACAGCAGGCTTTCCCGTCTTTCACTCTTGCCCAGAGTTTGCTCAAATTCATGTCCATTGAGTTGGTGATGCCATCCAACCATCTCATTCTCTGTCACCCCCATTCTCCTCCTGCCTTCAATCTTTCCCAGCTTGAGGGTGTTTTCCAGTGTGTTGGCTCTTCGCATCAGGTGGCCAAAATATTGGAGCTTCAGACCAGGTAGTCTAACTTCAGAGACACTATACTATGCTATGGTGCTTCTCCAAAATGGCTCTGTTACTAATCAGCCAGTCAAATAAGATGATTTTATTTAAAACCTGGTGTGTGTAATGTCTGCTTTGAAGCAAGCAGGGAAATATTAGAGAAAAGCATCAGGAAGCATAATGCCTGCACATCCCTAGCTTGAGCAAGAAAGACTAATCTATACAAAGTTAAGTAGCAGTAATGATAAATTACCATTTGCAAAACAACCTAGGTGCCACCAGCTAAGTTATACATACTCTGTTTTATATACCCCAAAACTGTCAGATAGGCATTGTTTTAGGGCATTGGTTCTCAAACTTGAGTGTGCATTAGAAACACCTGGAGGACTTGTTAAAAAAAATTGGGATAGATGGTAGTTCCCACCCCACCCCCAGGGAGTGTGATTCAGTAGGTATGGAGCATGACTCAAAATGTGCATTTCTAACAAGCTCTCCAGGTGATGCTGATGCAGCTGGTTCTGGGATCACATTTTGAGAACCATTGACTCAGATAAAGAATCTGAGGTTCAGCGGAGCTAAGTAACTTATTCAAGGTCTCATAGCTACTGAAGACAGGCCAGATCTTCAACTCAAGCCAGTAGCTATAAGATGAAAAGTGGTTTAAACAAACAAGAAAAGCCTGACACATGATAACGGGCCAGTATATGTTAAGTATCACTGTGCCCTATTTAAGTTCATTGAGGGTTAAGAAAACTGAAGGCTGGAGTCTAAAGAAGGAGAGGCCCAGAGAGGACACTAAGCAGGCTGTGTTGCAGGAATGAACCCTGCTGGTTGTTAAGCGTTCTAGCCTTGAAGTTAGTCTGTGTGCTATGTTGCTTCAGTCTGAAGTTTCCTTGTAACTGACTCTTTGGGACCCCCTGGACTGTAACCAAACAGGCTCCTCTGTCCATGGGACTTCCCAGGCAAGAATACTGGAGTGGGTTGCCATTTCCTTCTCCAGGGCATCTTCCTACCCAGGGATTGAACCTGTGTCCCTTATGTCTCGCACATTGGCAGACAGATTCTTTACCTGGGAAGCCACCTGGGAAGCCCTTTGAAGCCAGTCTGCATGGGTTCAAATCCAGGCGTCTGTTCTCTAGTTCTGTGAACTTCGCACGTGGCTTTCTCTCCATGCCCCCCCCCCCCCCACCTTTCACTCCATCCCATTGGTTTCCTTATTTCTGAAATGGGCTAAGAGTACTTACCTTCTGTGACTGTTGTGTGGATTAATTGAGTTAATATATGTAAAGCATTTAGGCCAAAATATGGCACCATAAACCTTCCGTAAATGTCAGTTGTAAAGAGGAGGAGGAAGAAGAGCGGCAACAGCAACAGTAACAGTAGAGAAAAAGGGTCAAGAGTAAAGTATTGCACCTGGATAGTTAGGCCTTGAAAACTAGATAGGATGGCAAATATGGAGGCAATTGAAGATTATTGGTCAGGTAGGTGACATAGTAAATATGGCACTTTAGATAATTTGGCAGCATTTGCAGCCTAGATAGGTTGGAAGGAGACCAGGTTGAGGCAGTGATCTAGACATGAAAGAGTGTGGCCCTGAATTGGGAAGGTAGGGTACAATAGAAATGGAGAAGAAGGGACAGATAAATATGTGTGATATTAGGGGGGGGAGAGGAAATGTTTATTGTGAAAGCAATATTACAGGAAATTAAAAACAGAATAAAAAGTATCCTAATTCTTACCACCCTAACACCCTGATTGTTTTCATTTCCCTGCCAGTCTTTATCTATATGTATAGAGGTTTGGCAGGGGTCTCATGATTATAATAACTGTGTAGATATAATTTTATGTGTCCTGCTTCTCTTTTCGGATAAGGCAATGGCACCCCACTCCAGTACTCTTGCCTGGAAAATCCCATGGATGGAGAAGCCTGGTAGGCTTTGGTCCACGGGGTCGCTAAGAGTCGGACACGACTAAGTGACTTCACTTTCACTTTTCATTTTCATGCATTGGAGAAGGAAATGGCAACTCACTCCAGTGTTCTTGCCTGGAGAATCTCAGGGACGGGGGAGCCTGGTGGGCTGCTATCTATGGGGGTCACATAGAGTCAGACACGACTGAAGTGACTTAGCAGCAGCAGCTTCTCTTTTTCCACTAGGCATTACTTGGTAAACAATTTTTCCTGTTGCCATAAAGGCTTCCTCAGTAGTTATAAATTTTAATAGCCGCATAATATTTTACCAGCTTAATGTGCTCTAATTTGCTTAATCATTCCCAAATTGGTGGATAATTAGGTTTTTTCCCAATTTCTTGCTATTATAAAGTAATGCTGCTGAAAAAATTTGAGCAGCTATAACCTTTTTCTAATTTTGAATTATCTCATTAAAAACAATTATATAGAGTTGTGATTACTAGTTAAAAGAAAATGAACATTCTTATTGTTCTTGATTTATTTCCCAAACTGCTTTCCCTGGAGGTGTTTTATTCTGCCATTAGCAGTATATGAGAATACCAGTTTCCCCTAAAATTTGCCATCATGGAAAATTTTCTAATGAAGTAGGTTTAAATGGTACCTATTTTAATTTTAATTTGCTTACTT